GAAAGTGCTCGCCAAGATCTATTTGATGACATAAAAAAAATTAAAATTGGATTAAAAAAATTTTTTTGAAAAATTTAAATTAAAAATTTGAAAAATTTTAAAAACTTCTTAAAAATTTAAAAGCCCGTTGCAAAGGTAGAGCTCACAATTGATCATTCATGAAAGTTTCAAATCTCTATTTTACGTAGTTTTCTCTATGAAGGTCAGACAAAAATTGTAGAAATTACGTCATATTTCACGACCGGAAGTAAAATTAGAAAAAATGAAAAAAAGGGATTGAGCCATAATTGTTCCCTTTCATTTCCGAAGGTTTCATAAAGATCCACCAAACCATTACTGAGATATCGGTGTAGGAAAAAAAAAATAATAATAAGAAAAAGAAACTTTACAATAATAGAAGGGTCTTCCGCTGAAGACGGAAGACCCTAATAATAACTAGATACGATCTCGTTGCGAGCAACGAGTGGGTCTTCCGTCCAATTTTTGATGAGATGAGTTATGATTTTGATAGAAATTTTTCATGTAAAATAATGATTTTTATTAAAAGACATTAAACATTAAAGACTTATAAATATGACATTTGGCCCCATGGTCCCTAAAATTAAGGATCAGTCTTTTTTTTCTTCATGTTATCTTAAGATCTCCGGAATTTGATCACTTTTTGTTCAACACCGATTCGGATTTGATTTCGTTTTCGAGTTGTTGTTTTATGAAATATTTTGGGGCCAACCCTTCAACTCTTTAATGTGGACGTTTGGCGAATAATGAAAGGTTGCATACTGTTAAGAAAATTATTTTGAACATCTTTTGCTCAACATAACTTATCAAAATATTTCTCATTTCTGAGATGTAAAGCGCATAGGCGTCGGAACCGGGGGGGGGGCTAAGCCCCCCACCCCCACCCCACACTTTTTTTCCCAAATATATACTTAGTATAGATATTGAACATATCTTCGTAACTTTAGCCCCCCCCCCACTTTCCACAGATACGTCTTAGTATCGGTTAAAAGTGGTAAAAGTGTTGGTGTTTGGAAGAAAATTTTTGGTACTGGAGTTCGAACATTGAAAAATGAAAGTGTGTAAATTGTTAAGAACTGTAGATTTAACATCTTTTGTTCAATATCATTTATCAAAATATTTCCTGCTTTCGAGATATAAAGCGTCATAGATTTAGTATTCTGGCCCCTTGTGGCCCTTTATTATATACCATACGATATAAAAGTAATAATATATAGTTGTAAATGGTTGAGATACACATCTTTGCTTGAGTAATGTAATACAAAATATTACCTGATAAAGAGTTAGCGATTGAAGAGTTTTGCCCCCTCCTGGCCCGTAATTTGAGTGTCCAGCCCCTTTTTCTTGACTTCATCTTTATGCTCTTATGTTTTTGAGCATTTTTTTCACAACTAATCAGAGATTCTTTTTCCTTTTCGAGTTATTAGAAATAGAAATATTCAAGGATCAACCCTTCATCTCCTTAATGGGGATGTTTAGCGAAAAATGAAAGGTCTCTAGTTCAAGTAGACGTGGAAATTATAATTGAGAGCGTGTTATTATTTGGAACTGCTAAATTATAAATCATGCAGTTACTTTTGCTTTAGTTACTTCAGTAAATTTTACTGAGGTGCTCTTTGCAATCAGAACAGTTTTATGACCAAATTCACGTCAATAATGTTTTATTGAGGACAGGACACCCCACCCCTCGCCTTGCCCGGTCGATATACTATGGAAACCTCTGGTCAATTTCAATTTTTTTCTCATAATTAATCGGAAAATCAGAACAGTTTTATGACCAAATTCACGTCAATAATGTTTTATTGAGGACAGGACACCCCATCCCTCGCCTTGCCCGGTCGATATACTATGGAAACCTCTGGTCAATTTCAATTTTTTTCTCATAATTAATCGGAAAACTACCCTAAGCATAAAATTTAATATACAAAAATATATATACATGTATATTAAGAAATCAATTAACATTTTAGTTATATATGTACTCTTATGAATGCATAATTATATTACTTGATTTACTAAATTTATTAGATGTAAAATTATGCGTGACTATATTAAAATAATAAAGCACCCTGTGTGGCGCTGTAGGGCCTTTTATTATGTCAGTATATTGTTATAGAGGGAGCTTAGTCAGGGCCGCATTTCTGGCAGCTGTCCTACTTTCCAGCTATTCATTGTATCAAGTCTAAGATATAAACGATGAGGAAAATCAGTTACATGTAACTTCTATAGAGTGCATACAATTTTGTTTTATTAAAAAAAAAATGTTATTTAAAGCAAATTTTCTGAGTATTTGTCAATTTGATAGCATATATATATTTTTCTTACGAATGTGTTATACTATATATATTTTATTTATTATTTTATCAGATTTTATAAACTCATTACTGATAACATTCCAAAATGTGTAACGAAGGACAACTCCTGTTCGTAAAAAAAGAAAGACTGTTTTCGCGCGGTTTATAACCGGTGTAAGGTGAATTCGTTCAAGTGTACTTATTTGAAATTAAAAATATTTTTATAACTTTTCTTTATCAAAATTTATGATAATATTATTAATTAATATGTGGAAAATATTCATTAGTATTTATGAAAACTGGGAATGGTCATGATTTTTTGAGTTTGAAATTGAAATTGATTTGGAAATTTGGAGGGAAACGAATTAACAGGAACCGTCTATTGCTCAGTTTCGCGGGGATTGTCGCTTTTCAAGATTTTCCAAGTAAGATATTGATTTAGTGATTGTTGTAGTCAAAATGGCAGAAGGAGGACCATCCCCTTCAAAGAGGATGAAGACTGCGGTAAATATATTTTATGCACGGTATATTTTGTGTCTAGATTTCTTATATAATCCATAATTGTCAGATTATGTGAAGTGGTCAGGTTCAGCACAATACCCCGATAAAGCTTTATAGCTTGATAAAGCTATATATAGCTTTATCAAGGTATTTAAAATACCTTGATCAGGGTATTCATGTAATGAAAATTCAAAAAAATCTTTAAAAATTAATTATTGAAAGCCGAGTTCTGAGTTTTTGTCAGTGTGTCTATTCGTGCATGAAAAACACTCTGTACAGTCTGGTATCAAAAAGAAGGCATAAAATAACGTCTCTTCATACAACACGTTTTTCTACTGATTTGTTTGTGTTAGAGTACTTTACTTGCATGGGTATAAATTTACTGACAAAAACTCAGAACTCGACTTTCAGTAGAAATTTTACAGAATATTTTTGAATTTTCAGTACATATAATACCTTGATCAAGGTATTTTAAATACCTTGATCAAGCTATATAGCTTTATCGAGCTATATACCTTTATCAGGGTATTGTAACTTCTGAGAGTCTTAAGCATAGCGAATTATTTTCATTGTATACATATAATGAATTAAAAATTAGTGAAAATTCAGTTATTTGTTATCAAGTATACAAAAAATTGGTTGGATTAGTTTTATTGATAAGAGTGAGTATTCTAATAAGGTTAGTTTGTGTATAGATGTCGTGCAACCACAAGCTTTACATACGTAGCTTGATTTTACTTTCTTAGCTTTATTTACTTACCTGAGGTAGCTTTATTTAGGTACCAGATCGAGGTGGTAACTGGCAAACCTGAACCCCTGAACCCCCCCCCCCCCCCCCCCCATTTTTTGAGAATTCCAATATAGCAGGGGTGAAACCCCAATAAAGTGGTGGAAACTCCATAAAATTGAACGCAATGGGGTACAATAGGGCCTAAGGTGAAGTTTAAATTGAATGATATTGATATCTGTAATTTTTTATAGCCATTTTACCTCAGAATCAACAGAAATTGGGTTTCTTCTTGTGTTGATATACTGTACGTACACCACGCACCACCTAAAATCGCAATAGCTGAAGTCGTTTTGAGTAATCTGTTAATCATACTTTATGATTATAATGTATAAGGATTGACTCTTTACTTTGCGACTCTAGAACAGACATTAAGTCTCACCGCTGTGCCTCTAAAGAACTAAATAAGTACAAATCATTAAGGTTCTCTATGGTTCTCTTAAGTTTTCTAGGGATTTCTGTTTAGTAGAACCCAATATCGAATGTCACTTTTTAAATTTAAAAACTTATTTTGAATTAATTAAAATACAGGGAGCACAGCAGAAGGTTTATGTATTAGAACCAGCAGAAGTAAGAAAGAATGCAAATGGATCTCCCTTTGGGATAACGACGGTGTTGAGTAAATCAACTAACTACAAGCAAGTTCATGACCTCTTCTTCCCGGAGAGATTCATCGAGAAACTGAATGCATCCGTTAGACATTCTGTGATAATCATGGGCTTCAGCTGCAGGGAGGATGGCCAATTAAGTATGACAGATTCTTCCAAGGTAAACCATCAAAACTACTACATGTATAGATTAATAATATTTAAGAAGTAATTAATTTTGAATGAAAATCAATTTTGTAATACAGCTTACATTACTTTGTATATATTTTTATAAACAAATATTGGGATAAGAATGATGCATGTTTATATTTTTATTTCAAACTTTGAAATAGATAATGGATACATATGATGACAGGAGTCATACACAAACAGCGAAACAATTCCTGAAGCCAGATCCTGAAGACATTGCGACGATCAAAACAAAATTGAAGGGTGAAAGAGTTTCTGTCAAAGGGATGATACAGAGGGTATATGATTTGTAGATATGATAGAAGTTGTAGTTCTTTCAGACTTTTTCATGTTTTAATTCACCTTAAAGTTCAAATTAAATTGCTGGGTATTTGGTTGATAGCATTTTTACAGTATAGTTTTCTATGTAGTTATGATGCAATTCAGGGTTAAGGAAGGTTAAATGTAGAGAACAGTTTTAAATATCAGTATCATTTGGGTTTTTAGGTGCTGTTATTTTCTATCCTTATTATGGTGTGTGTAAATATTCAAAATTGATATAGATCATCTGTTTTAATTCAACAGTTAACGGAAGTGCTAGAAACACCGAATTCAAAGCGGAGAATTATCACCATTGGTGACAAGTCTGGTGAATTGGACATAAAGATGTGGGGTGATTCCAAAGTGAACCTAGTTACGAGGACGGCATGCAATGCTTTAATCAGCGGGTTAAAGGTTGACATTTACAATGGCAGAGTTTCCCTAAATTCATGTGTTTCCACCACAGTAGAGGTATATTTAAACTTAATTTTAACTCTACATCTTTATGATTTGAATATTACCAAAGTTTGCCATTTTTGAATATTCTAAATTGATCTATTATCTCATCCCTTTAAATGATAAATTAGTTTTAAATCCTTAAAATAATGAACTAGCATTTACAAAGAAATATTTACTTTGGTGGGAATAGATTCTAGAGGGCAGATATAATTGTTTTGAATGTTGTTTTTAATAGTCATACTGAATTTAAGTACATGTATTAAAATACTGCTGAACGATGCCAGTTTGTATAGGTTTTAAGCAGAAGCAGTTGTTCTTCATTGGTTAAAAATGGAATTTTTGTTTAAATAAAATGTTTTAATTTAATGATATTTGTGAGTTTTTTATGATATTACGCATGATTTGTCCACAATTTTATTTCATATAGATCATACAAGACATAGAACCAGTTGAAGGATGCATTCAGGCAGCTTGTTTTGATGAGTAAGTATAATATTCAGTTTGTTGAAATATGACATAAAGCATTTTCTGTATATGGCTAATCTTGATGCTATTTATGTTTTTTCATATGATATCTGACATTGTATACTACATATGGTTACTTTATTATGTCACTCAACCTGCTTTTTGATGTTTGTTTTAAATACTAATTCTTGCTGCTATGAGATGTTTGTATAGGGCAAAAATCCTAGGAGATAAATCACTTCTTTTTGACAAGGCTTTATCTCTTGTTTGATATGATGATTCGGACCTGCCAAATGGAAATGATACGACCCTTCCAATCAAGTTAATTTATAATAACTTATATTTATTGATCAATGGGAAATAACTCAAAACCGGAAGTGACTTTTTGAAATTTTCGAAAGCATTCTGATAGGGTTTAATCACCTCTAATACGTCTGAAAATTTGAGCAAAATCAATTAAGAGATGAGTGAGATATGAGGTTTCAAAGTTGGCGTCTAGGAAGTAGAAGAAAAAAAAAGAATAATAATATTTACCAACAGAATCAGTAGACGGTCTTCCGTTGGAAACGGAAGACCTTATATATCTCTTTATAACTACCCATATGTAGTAGAATAAAATTTGAAGAGATGAATTGTATAATATTTATCCAAAATCAAAACTTAATAATATGGGACTACATCATCATGTTCATTGTTCAGAGAGTGGTGATATGGATTCAGAAATCCACATTGTGGTGATCCGTACAGTCAGATCGTGACATTATGTTATTGCCTAAAATTAACTGTAAAATTAAGTTAAATTGTTTTATATTGGGCTATTCTGAGATCTTGGCATGATATTAATATCAATGATGCATTTTATTTTTTACAGGATATTTTGTACATGATCTACATATAATTAAATTTTCATCATGATTTGGATTTGATTTATTTTCAAAGGGAAGAAATGTCCATTATGATTGGGGAGAGTGTGTATGTAGTAACTTCACAACAGATGGAGAGAATCTTCCCACTGTTCCAGTTTACGGAAAAGAAGACTATCAAGGCAAAGCATCAGGGCAGCAGTATCACTGAAATGTGAGCTAAGAAAAATTTTTCTCACATACAATTTAGAAGATTGTACTTCAATTACTTAAATTCTTGTGCTATGAAATATTACACTAATTTCATAAAAATTATATTCATAAAGAATTGTAATTCTGGTTCTATCTTTATATAATTTCCTAATCTCTGTAAGCTTAAATGTTTTTACTTTCTTTATACTTGTAGATTTTACTGTTATAAACTAAAACATCACTAAAATAATATTGCTTAAAATCCCATCAACTAGAAGTAGGAGAGCATTATTTATGTTCTATTTTACAGCTGATAATAGATAAATGATCACATGTATTTAATATTTTGAGTCCTTAAGATTTACTTATTAAACTTTCTTCAAACTATGATCACATCACCCCTGTGAACTGTTACCGTATATACTCACCTATAATGCGGGTTTTTTTGAGTAAATTTCTGTTCCAAAACTCTATTTTCGACTTATAGGCGAGCTATGAAATGAATGATATTATATGAGGTCAGTCCTATGATATATAAGCTTATAAAATACAACTGACTTATAGGCGAGTTTATACGGTAATTAGGCCATACTAAAAATATTCCTAGATTCTCATCTCCGCCCGCCCTGATTTTATACCTTGCCCCGATTTTTTAAATTTTTGTTTTTCTTCGTCTTTATTCTGTTTGGGATCGGTATTCATCTACCATTCTACTTTGTTTTGAGTCCTGAAAAGTCGATAAGATTTTGACAGCTGCAAAGATGGTAATTCAGGGACCAACCGAGGGGGCGACTGAGGCGAAATAGTCGCTTTTGGGCTCCAAACTTCGCCGTAATTTATCATGAAAGCGAAGTTAAAGTCGCCCTAACATTTGCAACCCCATTATTGAAAATCATGAAGCAAATCTACTAAGAAACATGGTAGAATCGTCAGTAGTTTATAAATCCTGTTTTATTACTGCTGAAATAAACGAAACAGCAGGACACTTGCACCTGTTTCGCTACTAATGTCCAATGCATCGAATACTCTGACGGAACTCCTCTAGATTTTACACTTCCGGGTATGATAAAGTCCATCGTTACAAGTTATACGTACACAACAAGACGCAAAACAGCTGCACAGCTTTCGATGTCATGCCAAAGATGTTGGAGAAGATTTTAGATCTTTTTATTGCCAAATAATTAATTCATGCTGTGAATACAGACCTATTTTACTGTTAAATTGTGTAGTTATTGACTGTCTAAGAAATTACACGTCTGATATACAGAGTTCAATGAGCATGCAGTACGTAGTACATCAAAACTTTTTCAGAAAAAAAAAATTAAGATTGAAAACAAATTTTAAAGAGATAATAACAAAATTATGACTATGCAATGAGGCTTCAAATTTAAAATGAAAGATAGAATTTAAAATTTAATTGTGCATATTAATTATTATGCAAGAAATGAAAAAAAAACTTTAACATTGTCATTATTTATTTTTTTTGTTTTGTTTGTTGTTGTTCTTTTTTTTTTGCTAGATATACCTTGTAATTGGAAAAAAAATTCAGATTCTTTTTCTCCTTAAATTATTTTTACTAGGATTTCAATACAAAAAAATTAATGAAATGTATTTAAAGTTATAAACAAAGAAATAGTTTCATTTTTAAAAAGTTTATAATGATCAATGGGCGTCACGCGTGCCAAGAAGTCTCCCTAAATTTCAAAACTTCTCCCTAAATTTCTCTGAGGGAGAAGTGAAGTCTCCCTAAATTTTGGTTCTAGGTTGGTCCCTGTAATTGTTGTAATACATGCATATATATTTTAAACAATGGTCATCAATTGAAAAAGATTGGTGATAATGTAAAGTAAGATACATTTGACCTTTGCTATGACTTTTATTCGGGTATTGTAGATAAAATTACACCGATTAACCAGGTCAATAGAAAATCTGCAAAATTGAAAAAATATAAAGTAAAAGCCGCCCGTCCGCCTGCCTCGATTTAAAAAAAAAATTGGATGAGAATCTAGCAATTTATTTATTATGGCCTTACCCATTCCCATTTGGAATTTGTTTAGTACCAACTCAATACGTTCTATTTCCACTATTGAAGATTTATAGTTCTTACTGCGCTCTTTTGTGAAAAAGTCGGAGAATGTACAAATCTCGCGGGATTTCTGGGACAAACGTAACATAAACCTGTAAACAGCATGTTGAATTTCAATGAACAGATGCTAACAAAATGCATATGAAATATTTTATTGTTGTGGGCTTTATTTAAATCAAGAGTAGAGATGACAAGGAAATTAATTTACATTTATTGGTGATCGTATGTATCTATTTATCGTAATAGTACATTAAAAGACAATACACATACCTCGGAAATGTCGTATTTTTTATCTATGGACGATAAAGTTAGGGTTTTTGCTCTGTTTCATATGTCTTTTAGTTCTTTTATTCTTTGGTTAGAATGACAAATGCATTAAACAATTAAAATTGGATTGAAACTGGCATATTTTGTATTATCCGCAACGCCATGCTGTCCCAGTCAGACGAGCAAACGCGCCTCTAATTTTGCAGAGTTCACTAATGGAAATATAACGTATTGGGAATCTTAACGTTAGAATGGATGCATTTTTTAGTAGTTTAAAATTTTAAATGACACATCAAATTATTGAGATATGAGAGCAGATTATATTTTCACTTATTTGCTTGGATTATGTATAAAGAACTATGGATCAATGTACATGAAATGTCTGTTTTACATTGAAATGAAGTATGAAAATTTTGTAAGGCAATACTGTGTTGTAGTTTTTTATTTTAATTTTTTGTCAATTCTATAGTGTTGCAGTGAGTGGTGAAGAAGAGAAAGAGTAAATGTCAATTCTATAGTGTTGCAGTGAGTGGTGAAGAAAAGAAAGACGAAGTTTACATCCACAGTGGAGGAAGACATCCAAATGAAGAGGAAATAGCTTTTTTCTATTTTGTATTAGACTTTTTTTAGAACTGATGTTATCAGTTGAGTTTTGTGTTATTTATTTTTTCTTTAGTATTGGTTTCTTTAGATACTATGATTTTTTGTAAGCATTACTGATTTTTGGAAGTGAAGATTGAGCAGCATTGCTTGAGGCTTGAAATGAAATGTTGTTTATATGCATTCTAGAGACCTACTCAAACGACAATTAAGCTAAACTTTTTAGACTACTGTAAGATGTATTTTTGTTGATTATAATTAGCTTAATGGTTATTTAAAATTTTTTATTTTATTTTGAATTGTGCTTTTATCAGTTAGTAGATTATATAAGGTGCAGATAATAAATGGGAAATGCATGATTTCTTTGTAAGAAAGTCCTGGAAACTGAAACATCTTTTTTTAAAAAGCTAGCATCTTTTTCTATGTAAGGACCTACTCTAATAATTAAAGCTCAGGAACTGCAAATAAACAATATTTTGGGATGACCTTATTTGATCAAATGTTTGCACAGACAAATCATTAAAATTAAGAGTAGTATTTATGCATTAAGCTGTTTGCAATATTTTACAGCATGTTTTCTTGCATTTTTTACTGGAATGAACATGCTTTTGTCATAGAATCTATTTATTATTTTAATTGTTTTTCCTGGCAATATTAGCATTTCCTTCTTCTTTTTTTATGTAAGAGAGTCTCAGGTTTGGGGCATTACTGATCCTAGTCAATAGCAAACAATTAATTGAGGTATTGTTTATTTGCCTACATTAAAGTTTAATAAGAAACTGACAAGGCACCTTATGGATTTTTCTATTAAAATCAGCTTTAGTTCTCAAATATCAGATTTTGATAGAGATTCATTATCACAGAGCAAACATTTCATGACTATATATTTATAGTCAAAGTATGTAATTTTGTTTTTTCATGTATTGGTTTTATGAAAATTCTTAGTTTAGTAAATGTTGAGCAGCTTCAAGAAAATATTACAGTAATACTTTTAAAGTTTTTTTGTTCATAATATCCTGAAATAAAATTGAACAAAGCATTGCGTTTTAAAATATTGAATGATTTGATGTTTGTTTATTCGGTTTATTCTCATCTGCTTATATGAACAAATTTTATGAGAAATTTTTATTTCATTGTTGTTTTTTCTGAAGCAGTTGTTTGAAAGTCCAATTTTTTGTAGGTCTTGGTTTTTAAAAATGCAGTGTTTGTACATTTGCTCTGCTTTGTTGTACATGTAGTTTTAATTTAGTTTAGTTGATTTATCATTAACCATCAAACTAATTGCACCATATTTCTTTGTAATACAATGAGAAATTGTGAAACAATTTATATTTCCGGCTGGAAATATAACTAATCAAATGAGGGGATGGCAGTTACATGTAACTGCTCTCAAAAGGGGCATAACTCTTAAAGGCCATTTTGACATTTACAGATTTGTTTGAGATTTGTTATGCATCTAACCAATTATTAAAGATGATTTGGCTAAATTCAGAGTGTATGTGTCATTTCACTTTTTCTAATTAATTTTTGAATTTTAATGTGTATTTATTTGAATTTCTACACTCGTTCAGCAAATTATTTGATTGGATAAGAGTTATGCTACTTCCATGGAATTCATGCAAGAGTGTGTTTTCTTTTAAAATATTTTCTGTTTCAATGATATTGATCTTTTTGCAATATTTTTTCAAAAGAAAAGAATGTCACTCTTAGTTACATCTTGGATGTCTTTTTGGAAATGTATGATGTACTGGTACATGATATATATTTGCAATTTAATTTTTTTTGGGAGGTGTCTTTTTCAAATGATCATGTTGTGATTTACCCATTTTTTCTAGTTATAATTAAGCTTTTCCTCTTCCTCATGCTCTCATTTTTTGTTCCTTTTCTGAATAAAAAAAACATTAGTCAACATAATTTTACTAGTTTTTTTGGAAGTAGCTCAACAAAGATCTGATTTTATTTCCTTAACGATCACATTTTGTTTAGCCTGTCTATTTTCTGTAATTTTTTCAGATTTTAGACATTGTTCCTGAATTGCCTTGAATATTATTATCCAAGTAGCTGGATTTTGAAAATCATGATTCTTGGTGTAGAGATCAAGGGGCAAACATATTGAATCAGATAGAATTCAAAAATCATGTAGATCATCCTCATATCGTGAAATCACAAATTTTCATGGGGGTTACCCATGAATTCATGACCACCACGAAATGTAAAATATTAAAGTACTCATCAATTCTTCATTCAGGAACCAAGAGTTTTACTTAAACCATGAAAATTTCTGGCTATAGTACAAAGGGGATGAAAATGCAATCTAATTAAAATTAGATTTTGGATCCATTCGCATACTCGTCTAACAAAATGCCATAGGAGGTCACGTCAGAGGTCAAATTGTATCAACCAATCAAATTATTGCTGGCAAAATCATCGGTTATTTTTTGACTTAATTGAAGTGAATAAGTCTAGAGTTTTTCCAAATTTTACCTGATGTGACCCTCTATGGGAGGTTGTTAAATGTCAGTGTAGCGTCTGTCACTCCATATACGAGAGGAGCTAACATCTAATTTTAATTAAATTTATGAAAAAGGAGGGTGGGGAATAGGGGCAATGGATGGTTCATTGAGCTATACATGTATGTTTAGGAGCATGATAGAAAAAAAATATGGTCATGTTACTATGTAAGCATTGTCTGGTATAATTTAAATCAAAATTGTTCAAAGATAGGGTGTGAGATGTGCAATGAGGGGTCAGATTTACATAGGAATATATATATATGTAACAGAGACAATGTTGTGCCTCTGCTTGGAATTGACCACATGGCTTGGATTACCAGTGCTCTACCAACTGAGCTAATATGAGGATTATCAAACTATCCCAAGCTAGGGAAATAGTATCCTGGGATAGTGTACATTCTAAATTGTTGAAATCATGACCCCGGGATAAGGACCATGCTACAATATGGAATCAAAATTGTATATAGATTGTATAGGAAAATATAATTACTGGGCCAAAAAGCTGATATTTTGTCAAAGCAACTAGGATAGGTTAAATTGTTCAATGTTGAATCATGACTCCATGGTGGATGGGCAGGGCTGCAACAGGGAATTCATGTTTAACATTGAAATATTTTGGAAAAATCTTTTTAAAGATCCACCTGGCCAGAAAAGCTTAAACTTATTTGGAAGTTTCCTGACTCCTGTAGAATCTAATTTTTTCAAATCATGACCATAAGGGGGGGGGGGGGACTGCAACAGGGAATCAAAGTTTTACATAGAAATATCTAAGAAAAATCTTCTCAAGAACCAAGCTGAATATTATATGAGGGGAACTGAAGTTTTACATTGAAATATAAGGAAGAACTTAAAAAAAATCTTTTTCTCAGGAAGAACTGGGCCAGAAAAATTTAAACTTATGTGAAAGCATATTGAGATAGTGTATATTTTAAATTGGCCAAATTATGACTCGTTGGGTAGGATGGTGTCATAATAGGTATTACAAGGTGTAACAACCTGTTAAAGAACAACATGTTCAACGCTACCCAGGTGAGCAATATAGTCCATGGGGGCATAGGAATATATATGAAAAATAATTAAAAGTCGTACAGTTAGGGAAGCCACTAATGACCAAATTTATATTGAAGCATTCCCAGGTGGTGTAAATACAAATATGTTCAATTCATGACACCGTGGGTGGGGATGGTGGGGCCACAGAGTTACCTAAATGGTTTAGACTGTTTTATCGAGGGATTAATCATATAAAGTATAAAATTAAAACGAAAAAAGAATGGATTCCAGGAAGGGATTATATGTACATGTAAATATTAGTATATAGGTCCCCGGAGAAAGTTTCCGCTATGAGTTTATTATATTACCCCCCGCTTGGTATATAGTAAGCGGTATTTTTCGCCCGTCTGTAAGTACGTCCGTCCGTCTGTTACGTTTTGGGGTTACAATCTTTTATCTGCAACTCCTCTCATACCACTGAAGGAAATTTAATGAAACTTTCACAGAATCCTTATTACATATTGCCATTATTGTGCACCTCCTACAGAGCTGCCAACCCTTACGATTTTGGCGTAAGGCGTACGAAATCAGCGTCTAAAATACGCCTTACGATTTCTCTCTATATTCTTCCGATTTCAGTTTTTCTCGTTCAAAGTTTATAATACCGGTATTTTCATAGCTGACAGTCAATAGTTTCTACAATTCTAATATATTCATAATTCTTACAACGCTTGTTTTATCATCGTTTCGGTTTTAGAAGGCCGATCACATTAATGTCAATGTTTTAAAGTATAAACAAAATGGAAACATGCCCTAGATAACATGTCCATTTACAAAACATCTTCAGCGGCAGGGGACCTAGGTGGCCCCTAGAGCCCGCCTTACTATTTGTCATTTCAGAATGTTGGCAGCTCTGCTCCTATTTTACTTTTTGATCTGACATATAGGCCTATGTTTTGAATTTTCTGGAGCAAAACATGGAGTCTGCCATTATATTCATATGGGAGGCGGGGGTATCATTTAGTGAGCTCATTGCTCACAGTGCCTCTATTTCAAATATTGTAAGGCTTGCTGCGACAGGGAACAGGCGTACACATGCATTTATGCACAACACCCCTCCCCCCACCCACCCCATTTTGTTTGTCAAATGTATATTGAGACTTTCTTACGTTAAAACATAAATATATACGGAATTCTGCTAATCTTTTCTCTCGTTTCTAAGGAAGTACATGTACTAGATGTATATACTTTTGGCTATTTAATAAAATCTCATTCAGCATAACCATAGCAGTTTAAATAAATATGTTTCTTCATGAGATTTTTTTCTTATTCTTGGTAATTTTTTTTTATCTTCAGTATATTATTTTTCTGCAATGCGTCTAGAAAGCACAACAATCATATCAATAAGTTGATAACTATCCACAAACATCCGAAGTATATAGCGTACGACTTGTCGTGACCCGATTATTTGACCTATTTGCAGTGTTTACTTTTGGCATCTCAATAAACTGCGCAGTTAACAAAGACGCAGAGAAACCTGCAAAGCTTGTTCATCAGAATAGAACAACACAGTTAGAATAAACTACAAAGAAAATTATAGAAAGTGCCTGTACATCTGTCTGTCATCGTAAGTTTTTCCAGAGTGCTTGTTAAATAACGGGGTTTATAATCAAAAGTTGTCATTGTCTATATATAATTTACACGCCATTTTGATGTAAGGAGACTGGAAGGGTGATGTGCAGATTGTATGCGTGGTACAGTGGCAGAGTAATATAACCAGCAAAGATGGAACGACGCCGATATATCATTTTATAGTAATAAATAAAAAATCGAATCTTAAATTGACACTGATCCTGTTGTTTATTTGAAATAAATCACAGTGCAAGACTGTTAGTGTTATCAGGCCGTTATTCTGGTTGGGACCAATCGCCAAGTAGTCCGTTTGGGATATAATATCCCAAATGGGCTACGAATGTACAGTGCAAAAATTGTTTTTTTTAATGTTGGCAATGAATATAAATCTGCATCAGAACATTTAAAAAAGGAATAACTTTTATTAAGCAAGTTTTTCTGAGACCCTACCGTTTATTAGATTGATCCCCATAAAGTTAAGAAATTCCGAGGGAATGATCTCCAAAACAAATGACATACAGGAAAATTTGTCAACCAAGATTCCTTTTTAAGTGTTCTGATCACAGACACTTGTTTCTATAATATTTCCATTTCTAATTTTTTTCTCTGTGATAACTTTGAAAGTTTTTGGAGTATATTCTTGATAATTCTGCCGGCATGTAAATTAGGCAGGTCGATAGGTCAGCAGCTAAGGAGACCTAATACGCATGCAAATCTCATGC